GAGATTGGAGGCCAACATTTCTAGGGAGGAGGCTAGGTGAAAGTCCGGTGGGGAGAGGATGAGGCCTGAGCGGGGCCCGGGTGGGGGGGACAAAAAGGAGGGAGTCAGCAAGAGGGAGGGGGCTGGGGGTTAGCAGGCTTCGGGGACAGAGGGGATAAAGGTGGACCTGGAGGTGTAGCTTAGTGAGTGCGGGCAGATAGGGCTTGTGCTCGACATGGAAAACTTGGAAGCTTTTGAGGGAGGACACTGAGCCAGAATTAATGACTCTCCCCTGAAGACTCCAGGCCTTGACATCTCAGGCTGGTACCAGGCCCCCCCACCAGCGGGTCCCATTTCCAGGGCTGGGGCTGGGTGTGGGTGGTCGGTCCCAGGCCCAGGTGTCTGTGCACTGCCCTGCAGAGCGTTGAGGGTGAGCAGCACGAGAAGGCAGTGGAGCTGCTGAAGGCAGCCCAGGGCTCGGTGAAGCTGGTGGTGCGTTACACACCTCGCGTGCTGGAGGAGATGGAGGCCCGCTTCGAGAAGATGCGCTCTGCCCGCCGGCGCCAGCAGCACCAGAGCTACTCGTGAGCCCTTTGCCATCACACCCCTGGGGCCTCCGTTGCCTCCTTTATCCCCAGAGCCCCAAACCAGGCCAGTGATTTCTGGGACCTTCATGGCTACCCCCAGCCCTGGCTCCTCTCCCTGGGGTTCTGACCCTTGACCCCGACCCAGACTCTCACAGGCCATTCTGGCTACATCCTCTGGGGACTCCCAGCTCACTGTCATCCCAAGATCTGCAGCCTACTCTCTGGAATTCCTCAGTCTGCTTCCCTGGGCCCTTAGCTCTGGAACCCCAGTCCTGGTTCTCTCCCAAGCCTCCCTGGGTCCCCTCCCCTGAGCGTGGCTCCCATCTCTTCACCCTCTTTGCAGGTCCTTGGAGTCTCGAGGCTGAAACTACAGTATCTGGATCCTCACCCCGCCCCCTCCCCTGTACAGTATTTATTGTCACCGGCTCCTTATTTAAAGATCTTTGACCCTCACTGAGTGTCTGTGTGTCTGTCCTGCATCCTGGGGTTAGAGTGTCTTGGGATGTGGGGAAGGGAGAGAAGCTGAAGTCTAGAGCAGGCCCGGAAGACACCCTTTTCAGAGTCTGAGAGCAGAGGTAGAGACTTTCCCCCAAGGTCTGAAGGCGGAGGCTGGCCAGCTTCCTAGGCATAAGTCCAAGGCGGAGGCTGGGGCCCTGTCTGGGTCCGAGTGCGGGGTCATAACCGAAGTCAACGACCCCTTGCCCTTAAAGACAGACTGAGGGCGAAGGCCAAGCCCCTTCTGTAGTTGGTCTGACAGAGGAGTCCTGAGAAGCTGCAGAGCCGGTGGGCGGCCTCTGTGTGGGCGGGGTGGAGCGAACCATAAGCTTCGTTCGCCAGGGGAGCCCTGCGGGCCGTACTCTCATCAGCGTGGGAGGTGGGGATGCCGCGTGCAGTTCCCGAGATGGGCGCAGGGGGTGCAGAACAAGGTGCACTCGCCGACCCGGCATTCACCCCACCTTCCAACCTGAGCGCGTGTCTCCGGAAGCCGCCCCCGCCTTAAAATCCAACCTTTACTCCCGCCTCACCGCCGGTCCAGCCCTCGCGTCCCGTGCGGCGCTAGGGCCGGCGCGCGCCACCTCCGGGATCCGGGGTCGCAACTCGCATTCCACGCTGCGCGCCACTAGCTCCAGGTGACATCATCCCCCTGCCGGGCTCCGCCTCCCGCCCCAGCCGCCGCACGCCGCGCGCTTATTGGCCGGCGCTCTTCGAGCCCCGCCTTCCGCTCTCCGCCCGCGCTACCCCTCCCAGTCCGTGCGGAGGCGGGGTTTAGCCACCGGCCGGCGCCGACGACGCCTCCCATTGGCCATTCAGAGCCGTCTGTCAGTCTCCTGTTAAAGGGGCCACGACCGCACGGGAGCTGTGGGGGGGGGAGGGAGGAGGAATTTTTTTTGGGGGGAGGTGGGATTTGGGGGGCGCTGGTGGGCACCCCTGGATCTGGCGGCTGCGGCCTCGCGGGGGGGAGGCTGAACGGTGATAGGGGCAGGGGGCTATTTTAGGGGGTAGAGGGCTGTTAGACCGTGAGGGGGAGGGGGGTCCCCAGCGCCCAAGCCGGAGCCAGAGACGCGGAGCCCGCGCGAGCGGCGGAGACAGGGCTCCGGAGCCAGAGATTCGGGCCCCGGCCGCCGCCAGGGGCCCCGCCCGGTCCCCCCACCCCACCCCACGTCCCTCCTGCAGCCCAGCTCCGCCCGCAGCCGCCGCGGACCAGGTAGGTAAGAGCCCGGCCCAGCCCGCTTGGCAGCGCCCACCCCAGGGACCCCTCGCCGAGCCTCCCTCGCCTGCCCGAGATCCTGGACTCCCTTCTTTATCCCCGGGGGCTCTGGAGCCCAGATTTCACAGCCTAACCCCAAAGACTCAGGCGTGCCCCTCCCGGCTCTCAGAGTCCCCAACCGAACCCTAGAATCCCGGGCGTACTGCCGCCTTGCGCCTCGTCCAGGGCCCAGGAGCCTGGATTTCCCTGTTCAGCCCCGGCAGCCCCCTCTGGACCTACATCCTCCTCCTCGGCCCATTCCCGGGAGCTCCAGACACCTGCGGTGGCTGTGTCAGACCCCCAGCTAGGGCCAGCTGTCCCCCGTCGGGTGTGCATAGTCCCCTATTCGTGCACCCGGTCTGCCCATCTCCAGCTTGAACAGCCAGCCTCCTCCCTCGGTCCAGGCCCGCTCGGCAGCCGCCCTGGACACAGGCCCGCTCTGGAGCTGTCCATGGTCAGCGCACTCGGCAGCCTCACCTCCCCCACCTCCTGCTGCTGCCGCCGCCGGGGAGGGGGCGCCTGCGGTTCGGGGAATACCCCCCGCCGCGCCTTTGACCCGGAGATACCCGGGGCCCTCTCCAACCCGGGCGCCTGGCCCTCAGGGTTACGCTGGTGAGCCTCTCGTCCCGTCCTCAGTACCCCAGGTTTCTGGGACCCCAGCTGTTTCTTGAGGAGTCAGGGCTTCTGAATGTTCCTGCCTGGTCCACCTTAGGGACCCTGGCATCCAAGGATCCAGCTCCCACCTGGCTCTGGAAGCCCTGTCGGTGTTCACCCCGCCTGTCTGAAAGCCCCAGCTGGTAGCCCCCACTCGCTCAGGACCTGGGAATCCAGTTTCCCAGCTCTTGCCCCCTTTAGAGACCCAGTTCAACAGCCCCTGTGCCCCTCAGCAAATATACCCGGCCTCCTGACACCCCAGCACTGCCTGCTTAGGCATTCAGGCACCATGACTCTCTCCCTTTCAGGGACTTGGAATGCAATTCTTAAAGCAAATCTCTGGCTTCTGCCCACCTTTCCCCTTGGAGACCTAGATGCTTTGTCTCTGGTCCTGCATCCCCTCAAGGACCCAGGAGTTCAGACCCCAGCTTCTGTATTGCCCACCAAAACCATCTGCCACAATCCTCCTTCCCCACAAGGACTCAGGCTCCAAGCTTCCATCCCCTGTCCTTTATCTCCACAACGATTCAGGAGTCCAGGCCCCCACCAAGTATCTAGCCCATTAGCTCTTACTCTTGGGGACCCAGGTCCCCCCAGCCTCACAACCCCCATCAATTTGACGTCTCTAGTGGCCTTAACAAACCCCTGCCTCATCCCCATATCATCTCAGGCACTGGGCTCCCTGGGGATTCTCTTCTCTATTCCCTGAGACCCAGGTTCTTGAGATGTTTCCAGCACCCCATCATGATGTTTCTGTCATGATGTACCCATCCTCTGAGTACACCTTCTCAGGCTGATGAGCCAAACATACACCCCTTCCTCTAGATGTGTTCTGTGACCTAGGTTCATTAGATGATCTAGAACCTGTCCACTATCTTCCATATTTCCAGGTAAACTGTGCCCTTGCGATGCTCTAGATTCTTTCCAAATCTTAGAACGCTCTCAGTCAATATCTCTGTTCTGTTTTCACCCACGGAATGTTTTCAGTTCTAGGTTAGATGCTAAAATCTAGGCATGTATTTCCCCAGGGGAATTCAAATGTCTTGATAATGCCCCCAAACCAATTCTGATCCCACCTTCTCCTTACATATGTTCCAAATTTTTAGAAACCAGTACTTGCTTATTCTCTGCTAGAATTTTATTTTAGGTGTGTTCTAGGTTTCAGCCACATCCTTGGCATTGTTCTAGATTCTGTTCTCCTCCCAGGGGCATTCTATATTCTAGAATATGTGTGTTCCAATTATGTGCTCTACCCTTTCTCCAATTGCACTATCAATTTTAAAATGCACTTTCCTATTTTAGGTTCCATCTACTTCTACGGTCTCAAATCTAAAGGATTCTCACTGAAATGTAGAGCATCTTCCTTTTTCAGGTACTAGATTCTAGGCCCATCCATTCCCACCTTTTCTGTCCATCTTTTCCCTAATGTGACCTTCGTTTAGAACTTATCTCCTGGAGGACTGTGGGTTTCCTCCTCCATCTGGCACTTTAGCATTCTAAGCATGCTCTAGGCTCATCTCCTCTTTTGGAGTCTTCAGCTAGAAATGTCCTCATTTCCAGAACATCTCTCCCCCCTTCCTTTGCCAGCTCAGTCCTTATGCCAGTAAATTCTCAATTCCCAGCATGCTTCTGAATCTTCCCCCAGGCACTTTTAAGTTCCAGGCAAACTCCTTGCTACTTTCTAGGGTTTTTTCCCCCACCTCCAGGGAATGTTCTGAATTCTGGTGTCTATCTTTCGCCTTCTGTCTATCACCTAGACACATGATAATACCAAGAGTGTGATCCCTGCTATATTCTTTGTTACACCTGCATCCCTGGTAGGTTCTGAGTTCTAGATGTCTCTGACTAGGTTTGTCATGTGTTACATTAGGTATGTTCTTAGGTATCATCTTGCTTCCCTCTGTGTTTGGGGTTCTTTGGTGACCCAGACCACTCTTTCATTTATTGGATTGCTTTTGACTGGTTCAGGTTCCAGACCTAGGTTCTAGAATATGCCCCTCTACTTGGCCCTATGTGAGGATTTTACCCCAAGCGCACTGTACCTGTGGAAACACATGTCCTTTCTGCACCATGTACTGTCTTCATGCCAGTGGCTTTCTAGATCCTACACCCAGCCTTGCTAAATTTTACGTCCTTCTCAGTGAATTTGAAGTTCTAGAGCAGCTTCCTGTGTTGCATCTCCCGAGTAGGTTCTGGATTTTAGATACCATGTTGGTTTTGACCTCTCTCCTTATAAATATTGTCTTAAATCTGGCCTCTGAGTGCTGGCATGCCAGTGTCTAGATTCCCAGGGGCACCTCTTCAAAGACCCAAGGGTGTAGGCATCTAGCTGCCTTCACTCCCAGGTTCCAGGGCCCTCCATCCCTCCTCTTCTCATTGAAGTCCAAGACCCCAGTTCCAGGTTTTGGACATAGTGTGCACACTGGGTGGAGCTGGGAACTATTCACTCTCAGAACCGGTTATGCCGCTGCCTGGAGGGAGAGAAGGAAAGGAGGGAATAGAGTGAAAGTCTCTCCTGCTTTCGACCAGGCCAGCTGGACCCGTCTGACCTGATGTGTGTGGAGGGAGCGGCTCAGGAGACCTCCCTTCATCTCCGCCCACGGCTCATGCACCTAGATTCCTGGGGCCTGGGGGCCTGGACTCTGGGGTTCTGGGGGAAGAGGGGTCTGAAGGCTGGGATTTCTGGGTCTGAGGTTGGAGGTTGAAAGCTCAGATTCTTGTGTCCCTGTCTGACCCCCAGGATTGGGGAAGAGGTGGCTGAAGGCTCAGACTCCGGGGTCTAGGGGAGAGAAGGGAATTGGGGACCCAGCCTCCTGTGGCCTGAGGTAGGAGGGAGCTGGATCTTGGACTCCTGGGTTGAGGGAGATGGCTAGCAAGTGGAGTGGTTTTTAGATTCTTCTGGAGCTGGGGTCCAGATATCTGGGACATTGGGGGCAGGAGTTGGGCTGGATAGGTGAGGACCATCCCTGTGACCCTGTACTGCTACCAATGACCTAATTCTGTGGCCCCAGTTCTTTGACCTCCTGAAGGCATGGTTCTCAGCTGGGCTTGTCTTCTTACACATGCGGCGGGTTAATGGGCATTCCCAGCAGGGTCAGAATAGGTAGACTGATTTTCCCACATTGACTCAGGCAATGGGTCACCTGGCTTTGGTTTCTCTGACTAGGCTGGTCCTAGATTTGCTGCCTAGATTGAAACCCTGGTGGGTTTCAATTAATCCCGAGCCATGAGCAGAATGGATGGGCCCCAGTTTCTTCTGTACAATGCCTGGGTTGCCCCACCTCAGTTTCCACTATGGAGTATCCCAGGGGCCGTGCCTCAGTTTCTCTGCCAGTGCCTCGACGAGGCCGGTCTCTGTTCCCTGCCCCCTCCCCACTCCCGCAGGCCAGCACCGCCGCCATGATGTGCGAGGTGATGCCCACCATCAGCGAGGATGGCCGGCGGGGCTCGGCGCTGGGCCCCGACGAGGCGGGCGGCGAGCTGGAGCGCCTTATGGTCACGATGCTCACGGAGCGCGAGCGCCTGCTGGAGACGCTGCGCGAGGCGCAGGACGGGCTGGCTACGGCGCAGTTGCGGCTGCGCGAGCTGGGCCACGAGAAGGACTCGCTGCAGCGCCAGCTCAGCATCGCTCTGCCCCAGGTCTGGGCGGGACTGGGGGCGGGGCCTGAGGGAGGCGGGACCTCGACCGCCGAAGGCGCGGAGAGGGCGGTCCGGAAGGGGCGGGACTTGGCGCGTCAAAGGGAGGAGTGCATGGGGCGGGCGCTTGCCGATGGTGGGCGGGGCCTGAACCTCTGGAAGGGGCGGGATTTAGCAGAGAGGGGTGGGGCCTTCAAAACTTCCAGGCCTGTGTAATGCGGGACATGGGGAAAGGATTGATCTAATTGTCCGGATCCTACCCACATCTGGACAGGAGTTTGCGGCTCTGACGAAGGAGCTGAACTTATGTCGGGAGCAGCTGCTGGAGCGGGAGGAAGAGATCGCAGAGCTGAAGGCGGAGCGCAACAACACGCGGGTGAGGGGCGTGGGGGCGGGGCCTAAGCGGGGTGGGCGGAGCCACGAGGTGTTGCAGCCTGACCCATCTTTTTTTACCCATCTTGCCTTCCTGTCTTCTCCTCCCTGCTTCCACTTCCTGGCTGGTCTCCTCTGGTTCCCTCCTTCCTTCACATCTCCTCCCTTACCTCCATAATTGTTCTTTTCCTACACCATTCCTTCCTTGACCATGCCCCTACCTCTGATATCCCTCTCTCTTTTCCTGACCTCTCTCCTTACCTCTTTGCTTGGCTCCACTCTTCCTCCATGTGTCCGCCCCACCTGTCTGGACCACCCTTGTCCTCGACCCTGCCTCTCTTCCCTTGCCTCTTTTCCTTGGCCCGGTGACCTAACCCTGTAGCTTCTCCTTGAACACCTGGAATGCCTGGTGTCCAGGCACGAGAGGTCACTGCGCATGACCGTGGTAAAGCGCCAGGCCCAGTCCCCGGGTGGGGTCTCTTCTGAGGTGGAGGTGCTCAAGGCTCTAAAATCCCTCTTCGAGCACCACAAGGCCCTGGATGAGAAGGTATGAGAAACAGAAGAGCCTGGATGCAGAACCTAAGCCCGTGGTTGGCTGGGACTGTCCTGGATAGGAGAGATTCTGTCTGTGATTGGTTGGGGATGTCCTAAGTGGGAAGAATGTTGACTGAGAT